ACTCAACTAAAAAAAACAATGGTGATCTAGCACCTCTTGTATTATCCTGGATAGAGCTGGAACCCATTCTACTACGTGAAGTATCACAAGAATGGACAAATAAGCACCACATGTACCCACCGTCAAATTGGTTTTAACTGATCAACACTTAAGTGTAGATACAGTAGTACAATTCATCGGGTGTTGGGCAGATGGGAGGGATGTGAAGGGGATGGATATATACACACCTAATGGGTGCAGTGTGCATCCTCAGGGGTGTGAACATACTTGAAGCTCTGACTTGGGTAGGGCAAAGGCAACATACATAACCTAAACGTTTTGTACACATAAAGTTTTACAATTAGATCTATGGAACAAAATCAAGCCCGGAAATAGACATGCGCATATATGATGAATTGATTTTACAAAAATGTCAACACAATTCAGTGAGGAAATAAAAATCTCTCCAACAAATGGTGATGAAACCTCTGAATATCCATCAGGGAAAACAAGAGCTTCAATCTCTACTCCATATACAACAATTAATTCAAGGTGAATCATAGACCTAGAGGTAAAAGGTGACACTATAAAGCTTCTAAAAGAAGCTTCCTGAAATAAAACTCCTAAAATAAAGCTTCTAAAGGAAGACAGAAAGAAATCTTGGTAAAGACAGACAATAAATGAGCGGGACATAAAAGAAAAAATGATAAATTAGACTTTTTCATAAGTAAAATTGATCATCAAAAGACAAGAAAATGAAATGGCAAGACACAAATTAGAAGAAAATATTTGCAATGCATATATCTCACAAACATCTGTATCCAGAATATATTGAGAACTCTTACACCATGAGCCTGTTTTGTGAATAAATTCTGCACAAAATAAATTATATGAATGGTTAATATGTGTATGGAAAGATGCTCACCATCATTAGTCATTGGAAAATTGCATATTAAAACCACAATAAACATATCACCCACATTAGAAAGCTTAAATTTTAAAAGGTTAATAGCAAACATTACATGGTGAAACGGTGGGCATATGGAAATATTATCATTGGTAGTAGCAGTATAAATATAATAATAAAATAATTTTGGGAAAACTGTAATCTGTTTCTTATAAATTTCACCTATGCTATCCCATGATCCAGTAT